ACCTCCCCCTGCGTGCACACCTTTTCTCATAGCCCCCTCTCCAAATGCCTCTCTGCCTCCACTCTCCGGAAGTTTTTAGTTAAAAAATGGGTTTTGCAGTTGGAACATGGCCCTTGTTCTCCTCTGCTCTGAGGCAATGCTGACTGCTGGGCTAGGGCCCCAAGGCCAGTGGTTCACCCTCCTAGGACCCTCAGATCGTGGCCTTCTCAGGCTGGAACAGTGTATACCTGTGGGGCTGGAGCCAGACTGTTTGCCTGGAGACAACCTGAAATGACTCTTGAAACATCTCGAAGCCCCCAGGCAGTGGGGAGTGAGGGAAAGAGGCAATTACTGTTTGCGCAGTGCCTAGCCCAGGTCTTCTCCATATGCCCTTCTCCTGCCATGACCCGCACCCTCCCTCCCAAGTTCCTGGAATCCTTCTTCCCTGGGCAGGTCCAGTTGGGTCTGGACACCAGTCACTGCTTCCAGCAGGCTTTCCTGAATGCCGCCAGCTGAGGGCTCAGTCCTGACACGAGGGCAGGGGAAAGGTGGAGGATCTTTGCAATGGGGTCCCGGAGCTGGATGGCTCCATAGGCTAAGCCTGTGTCGTTGGTCATCATAGGAGTGGCAGGTACAGGTAGAAGAGTGTGAGGACAGGACCTAGGTGGATTCCCTGGGTGGTCTAGAGGGTGAGAGGCTTGGCTGATAATCACTAGTCTGGAGTTTGCCTCCAACCAGAAGGACCTCAGAAGAGAGGCCTGGCAGCCTGTCTACCAAAAAATCAGCCCTTGAAAACCCCGTAGAGCACAGTTCATCTCTGGTGAGTTGAGTTGACTCAGTGGCAAATGAAAGCTCCTAACGTGAACCTGACTCCAAAGTGCCTTGGTCTTTGTTCGCTGCATGAGGATGGAAGGAAGAAAGGAGAAAGCTGGCTGAGGAGCAAATGGAACCACACATGGGGTTCAGGCCCAGGCAGGCTGCCACCCCTAGAGGGAGCTCCAAGACTTTGAGAGGGAGCTGAGCTCTGCAGAATCCCTGAGGTCCAGCAAACCTTGCTCTGTAATATCAGTCTCCTTGAAAATCCTCAAAGCAGAAAGCAACCAGAGCCATATTTTTGGTCATCTTCATTATGCACAAGAGAAAACCCTGTGAGCAGGCCTGGCCCCAGGACAGTGGACATTGGGACATCTCTTCTGTCCAGAGGCAGTCACTGTCTCACCAAGGCTGGGAGGGAGGAGGCAGCAGTCTGACTCCCTCATGTGGCTGTCCTCATCACAGTGACCTCTAGGCCGCAAGGGAAAGGCCACCACTGCCAGAGGCAGCCGAGTTTCTGATCTCTAACAAGGAAAGAAAACTGAAATCCAGCCGTGGTCCCTCCTCAAGAGTCTTCCACTCAGCAAGGAGGCCTTTCCTGCTTTGACCCTATTAACCAGCAGCATCTAGGACGGAGATCCCCACCAAGAGCAGAGCAGCCCCAGCTGGGCCATGTGAAGGTTTCAGGGAAATGTATGGAGGACACGCAGAGGGATCAGGTTGGAGGAGGAGGAGTTCCTGAGTCCAGAGGTTCAGTCCTGGGCAGAGGCAGTGTGTGCCCCTCTGAAATGGGCCAGGGAGTCCGCAAGTCTTCACTGAACAGCAGTTTTCTCTGGAGGAAGAAGGGGAGGGGTAGCAATGCCACTGAGCATACTCACAACAGCCCTGTTTATCGCACAGTGGAACTGCCTCATGGGGTTTTCTTGGTTGCAGTCTTTATAGAAGCAGGTCTCCTAGCTTTTGGTTAGGAGATGAGCTCAAACTGTTTGGACCACCAGGGCTGTGTCGAGGACGGGAAGGAGAGAAAATCAATATTCATCCAGCTCATTGCACTTACTTTGTGACCTGCACTTCTGGACACCTCTCTTACCTTATTCCTGTAGCCACCCCTTAATTTCTCCCCCAGAATTGGGATTCCTAGTTTTTAGCTGCAATAACTGAGGACTATAAAACTTGCCCAGTGTCAGACAGTGGGGTGAGTGTGAAGAGGGCTTCCAGGTCCCCTGCACCATCTTCTGTGGAAACTCAAAGGAACAAGCAGCTTCAGGAAGGTGAGACTCCCATCATCTCCTAATCTGCCAGCTTGGCTCTATGTCCCCTCGCCTCCCCAGACCGTGTCCACTTCCCATAACTCAGCCTGAGTGGGTGGCTGGGTGCAGGAGGCTTGGCCTGGGGAGTTGTTTAAAGCTGTCCATCTTCCAGTGTTCTGTCTCGATGACAGGGAGGACAGTTGGTGGGCAGACTCCCACTAGGTGTGGTAGGTGATGAAGAATGGAAAGAGGGAGATGAGGAGGACAGCTTCCAGGTCTTTACTTTGGAAACCCAGGGGATTTCTGTCACACATGCTCCTAGAGGGGTTTCTGGCTCCAAGCCAAGCGTCCTAAAGCTCCTCACAGGGAACATAAAGGTGATCTGTTGAGCTGAGGAGACTTTTGAGGCAAGTCAAGGGATTTGATGTGGAAGGTGACAGAGAGGAGAGTGAGGGGGCGAAGGAGAGGAGGAAAAGGAATCTGGCAGGAATTTGACAAGCTGAGGACAGGAAGCAAGGCAACAACTGATGCACAACTTTTGCCTTTTTTGGTTTGAATCATCTTATTGTGGGCTGAGATTGGTGTGCTGGTAACAGGGCGGCAGGCCAGCGCCGCCTCCACCTCAGCTTCTGGCAGCCAGTGGCCTTTCTCCTCTCAGCTCCTTCCTGCCCACCCTCAGACCTGCTCAGTTACCTTTTTCATCAGAAGCATCGGGCAGAGCTTCCCTTTAGGGGTCCACCAGCTGCATGTCCGTGGTAGCCATCTTTTCCAAATCTGGCCCTATATGTCTATATTTCTGAATGAGGAGAGCAGAACAGGGTATTGGAAAACCTAACAGTGTGGTCATCCTGCATAAATGCTTCTTGGAGGTGGGGTTTGTGTTTGGACTGTGCAGTTCCTTGAGGAACATCCCTTACCCAAAGCTTTAGGGAAATTAAGGCCAGAAGTTTGTGTGGAACTAAGAAACAAATTAAAATCTGAAAGAAACTAAAATCTGAAGACTGAATTAGCTGAATAGCCAGAAATAGATCTAGAATCCGACAAGAGAGTGGCGTGGTTACAAAAAGGATCTCAGAGAGTTTCTAGATAACACCTTTTATGTGCTGGGATGCTTTGTGGTTCAGGTGCAAGCTGGCTGAGCTACAGATCTAAAATGTGTCCTGGATCTGAGAACAAACTCTGAATTGGTGCACAATTTTAGATGTAAGGTTAACATCATGAGGGGAGAGGGGAAAAGAAGAGTCAGAGAGGGAAGGGGAGGTGAGTGTGGTGTTAGCCTAAAGTTTGCATTTTTTTTTAGCCATTATCTTAGCCCTCTTTGGTCTCCAGCTATCTTAACTACAGACACATGATCTTGTAAATCATCAACAGCAGTCAGACTAGGATAAGAGAAAGAGACAGGGAGACAGAGAGAGTGGGGGAGTGTTCTTCTCACACTGTGCAGAAAGAATTGAAGGAGACACTGGTGGTAAGAACCTGGTAAGAGAGAGTAGTGCTTCCCACACTGAGATGCAAAACTTGAGGAAAGTGAGACTAGGGAAACTGGACCAAGAACCTTGAGAGTGAGACTCTGGTGGCAAGACCCTGGTGATTGGTGGTAGAGAAAATGTGGCATTGCTGTGGAGAAACTATGGTAAGGTGGAATCAAAGGAGCTCTGTGATAAAGACTACAGTTAAAGATGTTGCTAATCTTGCCACATGATTAAGGAGCAGCTGACTTATTACTGCTCTGAGGCAAACCTTGCTGGGTGATTGAGGAAACCAGAGGCTTCTTGAATTTGTGTTGCTGTACTGAAATCTGAGCCTGGACTAATTGAAGAATTGTACATTGGGACTTCTGGGCTAAAACCTGGATTTACACTAGGTGATATTCTTTGCTTCCCCCACTCTCCATCTTCCCAAATAAACTCTGTTTTGGGTACCACAGCTGTGAATCTATGAGTCAATGATGAATAAATTAACCTCTTGCTGTTGGTATGGCCCTAGAGGCACCATGGGGCTAGGCTACAGGCTCTTTATCTGCTTTCAGATCTAGATAGTGAGGGACTGTGCTATTCTCACTCCCTCTGGCCCTTTCAGAGAGTCACTCGTTGTCCTGTGTCCCCATATCCTGTTATCTGCTTATTAGGCAGAGAGTGAGAGAGAAAGTGAGAGTGTAAGTCAGAGACAGAAAAGCTCAATGAGATTGATTAGTTCTTATAGACTGCAACTGTCAGGATTCTGCTGTAACTAGACTAATTGATTTCAGCTCCCCACAGTTAGAAATTAGCTTTCTCTTCAGGACCCCACCACACTCCTTTCCCGTGCTGCCCTGTTTGTTCCAGAGCTTAGCATGGACCCTGTTTCATAGAATTTCAAAGGATGTAATACTTATTGTAAACTCCTTGCCCCGTATTCTCTTAAAATCCCAAAGTAATCATTTTATTTGAGATCCCCTGGGTGTGCATGTGATCAGAAAGAGGCCATGTCATTAGCAGTGCACGTTTGTCCTGTTGTACCCAGAGCTAATGGTCCAGCATCTTGTGGGAAGAGACCTCAGATGGCTTATTGACTAAGTGATTTAACACAGAGCTCCATGGTTTCTGCAGCCCCACCCCAAACCAGTGGCTTTAATGGAAACTTTAGAGGTAGATGTCCATTTCTGAGCCCACCAACGACTCCCTGGTCCCACCTCATGGGAACATTCTTGCATTGGTCTTAATGCCATGATACTGGAGTTTTTCGTCCTGGGGTCTCCTTTCCCCACAGGGCCCTGCAGTTCTTACACCTCCAAGTCCTCGCTGTGGGCACCAGAGACATCCAGATCAGTCTGCCATTTCCCCACTCTGACTATGTTTACGGGTTTGGAACTTGACGTAACACCTCCTCTTTTGTGCTGGAAGAAGGTCCTAATCATTCTGTAATGGAATATGTGTTCTTTCCTTGATAGATTTTACACCAGTGAACAACAGAAGAGCAATGCTGCCTCCAAAGGAAATGTCTCCTCCTCCTTCTCCTTCATTGTCTTCTCCATCTCCCTCTCCCACACCATCTCCTCCTTCAGATGGTGCATTGGGCAATGCTGCCAGTGGTGGCTCCATCCCTCAGGTAAGTGGCGTGGATGGCTCAGCAGTTAGAGGAAGGAAAATATGCCCATATTCTTCCCACCTCTTTCTCTCAACTCTGGATTCTAAGCACTCTTAGGTCATCCCAAATGCAAAGGTGGAGCCAGAGAGGTGATCTGTCACGTCACTGCCCAGGACTTCTCCACTCATACCTTCTGTGAGACTTCATCTTGTGGTTTTACAGCTTCACCCAGTGTCAGAGACACATTCTCATGTACCAAAGCTTACAGGTTGTTGACTTTGTGCCAGTCACCCAATTGGACCCTGAGGTGTAGAGATGTGGACATACACAAGCATTGAGGAGTCCACATCCAAAGGCTAGTCCTCACAGAGCAAGAGCGCCTTTGATAGAACCATGGAGATGACATATCTCTTAAATAGAAAAGAGTATCACCTACATATACATGGCCAGACTCACTCTTTCATAAGGAATAAGCTTCTACTAAGCTCCTTAATAAGCGTCTATCACCTGATAAACCTTGTTTTAGTCTCTGGGAAGTAGAACTCATGAGATATCAAAAACATGTGTTCTTGTGAAGGTCATGTCCAAGTCATCTCCCCTTGAGTTCTTGGAAGGGAACAGCTACTTCTCCTAGAGTCCAGCTGTGCTTTTTGTTCACACTGGAAATGGCTGCTTTCTTAATGGTACAAGGGGAGAAGGATAACCAGACATCATCAGGGCATCCTTCTGCCAATCACCCCTCTAGTCCATCTCCAAGGAAGAAGCCTTTGCCTCTTTGTTATTGGAGGACAGTGTAGAATTCCATGACAATAGCTGAGCAAGCAAAGGGGGATGTTGTCCTCTCCTGTGTGTCTAGTGACCCATGAAAACTAAGTCAGTCCCACCCACACTGGCCCAGGAGCTTGTCACAAGGAGGGTCAATGCCTTTGCCTTTCCTTCTGGCCTCCTCCGCATCAGCACTGGACTTGGAGAGATTTAGATCAATAATAATATCAAGGCCTCAAGTAGATACATGCAAAACCCAATGCAGCAGCCACTTGGAACAAAGAGTGCTCTTTGGAATCTCCTACACAGAATCTTTAGCTATCTAAGATCCTTGAGATGGATTTGTTATAAAGAGAGGAAGAAAGGGGATTTAAACAGTCAAGCCCAATTAAAAAATGTTGTAGACTGAGGGTAAAGAATAAAAAATGAGACAGAACACCAAGAATGTATAAGAAAACAGGTAAAGCAGGGAATGAGCAGTTCAAACAACTGAAGTGCTGAACCCAGCTTCCTTGTGCCTTTATTGAAAATGGCTGGGGAGCAAATCACAAAGAGAATTCTGTGTAAATTAAGCTAAGCTTTTTCTATTGAAAACCTTATGCTTGACTCAGGAGGGAGGGGTTAGCAAATACAATACAATACAAGAATCATGCAAGCACTTAATGTCTGCCATAGCGCTTAACCCCTGTGAACACCTAAGGCTCTGTCTTGGTGCTTCAGGGTGAATTCCAGCTTGTATCTGCACCTCTCTCATATCCTGATATTGTATTTGGTTTATTATTAATATTTAGTATAAAATTTGACTTCCCACAAAAAAAATTAGTTAGAATGTCACAATAACTGCAGTTTCCCCCCCCCCATCTCCTCTAGGCAACAACTTGCAACCACCCCATACAGATCTCAAGAGGCCATTTCAGCCCCTTCAACCCAACCTTTCATGAGCAAACCAGAGCCCAAGAAGCACCTCAGGAAATACCCCTATACCTGCCTCACCATGAAGTCCTGGAGCGAGCGGAATACTGCCTGGTGAGTCCTATTGAAGATGGCCTCTCAAGCCCCAGATCTTGGAGCCCGGGAGTGAGGGGTTCTGAGGGGTGTCAGGACATAGCAACTTCTTTTGGGGACACTAGAACCATCCACACAGGCCCACACCCTACTGAAGAAAAGGACAAGTGTTTGACGGACCAACAGCTATCTTTTAAGGCTGGTGAGAACACCAGAGAAAGGCATACGAGTCCCAGGACAGGAGAGGGAGGGTCTGAGATGGCAAGCAAGAAGAAGCCCAGCTTAAAGAAATTAGTCCTCACAGAGGAGCAAAAGACCAGCTTGCTGGATTGGAATATCCCAACCCCAGTGAACTTGCGGCTTGATGTTGGAAAGCAGCCTTCCCAGAAAAGTTCTGATAATGGTAGAGGTCGTGTTCTGAAACCAGCCCGACCCCTAACACTTCCCCAGGCAACTAGAGAGGCACTATCATCCCACAAAGACCCTCCAGAGAAGGTGGGGACCCAAGCTGAACAATCTGTAGGAGAGCGAAATGTAGCTCCCCCAAAGTCCCCCCTGCGTTTCCTAACTAATGTGATCCGCAGGTCCCTGGAGCCCCTCCTCCCCAACTCTGAAGGTGGTAAGAAGGGCTGGGCCAAGCCCAAATCAAAAACCTTGATCACCAACCAGCCCCACACTTGTACTCGCTCATTCAGCCTACGGAAAACCAATTACAATAAAGACTGGGACCAACAGTCCCCAGAGAGGGACATGACAAGCAAGACCTCCTCCTTCTTCTCCCGGGGATCCCCCAAGGCTGCCCAGCCCTCATGCTTGAGCCCTCCTGACCCTGTTCTCCACACCTGTAGTTTGCCCAACCGACCATCTAAGACCTTTTCTGATCTTGAGTCCCCACACTACAGCAAGATGGACGATGTCCCTACACTCCTGGAGAAAGTGAGTTTGCAAGAGACCTTGACAGAGCCTTCAAACAGAAGATTCACATTCTTTTCTTCCCTGAGACTCAAAGACAAATCTTCTGAGAATGTCCTCCAAGAATCTAAACAAACAGTAGACCTCAGGGACATCTTTACCAGCTGTAAGGGGAAGGCGCTCCCCATGGACAATGCCCACACCCTGGAGAAGTTGGTGCATCCAAACAGTAACACAGACCTGGAGCCAATGGACCCCTCACCTGCAGCAGACCCAAGTAAGTGAATCTTTCCTACTACAAGTCCACAGTGCATGCTGGATGGTTTATACCTTTCTTAGATGAATAAGAAGACATTTTTCACTTTGTTTAAATTACTATTATCCTTGTAGACAGTCTATTTCCATACTCGCAGAGTTTCCTTTTTTCTGACATTTGTTTGATTGTTTTAAGAAATGAGATACTGCATTTGATTTTCAAGTACAAGAATATTAGATTAAGGTATCTTCTTTGTAAGCTTCATCAAAAGGTTTTACCTTCCTAAGAATTTCCTATTTTAAGACTGTGTTAAAAGACATTGCTTTGACTCATCTCTGTTTGGAACAGAGGTTTTTGTTTTCCTGTTTATGCAGAGTCATAGGTTTAGAGAGTGAAAATGTTTAGGGGGAGACTTACCCTAGGATCTACTTCACTGCCCAAAAAGACTCTTCAGATCATTGAGGAAGTGGATTGCAAACGTGTATTTCTTTATAGCATAAAATTGATTAGAAGTTCAGTCTAAAACTTTCTGCTGTCCCTTTTTATGTTTTCATTCAATTCACTCATTGCCATGGAGTCAGAACTGATAGATAACTGACGCTCCAGCAGTTTCCAAGGTTGTAAATCACACAAGAGGAGATAGCCCATTTTTCTCATTCAAAGCCACCAGTGGGTTCAAAGCAGCCAGAGAAATGTAGTCTTTAGCAGTGCTACTCCCCAGAGACTCAGCCACCAAGACACCTTCCTTTATTATGGTAAAAATACATATAATACACGCAAGGGAAAAAATGCCATTTAAATGGGCATGGTCCAATGGTAATTGATTTTATAAAATGTAAGTTTGGGGAATGATTTTGCAAAACACTGTATGAATGAAGAATAGTGTGAAACACAATGTATATATGAACATTGTGAACAAACCAATATAAAATAATTTTTTTAATTTGCCATTTAAGTGTACAATTCAGTGACTTTATAACTATACATGTCTTCTCATACCATAAAAAATAGCAACACAGCAGGACTGCTCATGTATTGGACAAGTCATTTTGATCTTCTGAGTCCCAATTTCCCCTTTTCTAAATGGAAGAATATAATTTGTTATCATGCTGTTGTTATGTGATGTCAAGTCACTTGCCACTCATAGCATCCCTATGTACAACAGCTCTGAACCCTGCCCTATCCTGAGCCAGTCTCACTATCTCCAACACCTGTAAGCCCATTACCTCAGTTTCTGTGTCAGTTCATCTCCTCCAGAGTTCTCCTCTCTTGTGCTGTCCCTCCATCCTTCCAAGCATGATGTCTTTCCCCAGTGATTGGTCCCTCCTTGCAACATGCACAAAGGGTGTGAGATGGAGCTTCAAAATCCTTTTCTCCAAGGAGTAATTTGGCTTCATCCTCTCCGGGACAAATCTATTGGTTCTCTTGGCAGTCCATAGTATGTTCTCTTCTCCAGCACCATGACACAAAGACATCAATTCTTCCTCTGTCATCATTAGTCATTGTCCAGCTTATTGATGCATAGCAAGCAATTGCAAAGACCATGACCTGGATCAGGCACACCTTAGTCTCCAGACTGACAACATTGCTCTTTAGCTTTCTGGAGAGGTCCCTGACAGCAGATTTTCCTAATGCAATTCATCTTTTTATTTTCTGACTGCTGATTGTGGAGCCAAGCAAGCTGAAATTGTTAACAACCTCAATCTCTTCTCCATATATCATGGTGCTGCCACCTGGACCTGTGGTGAGAATCTTTGTTTTCTTGGTGTTGAGTTTCAATCCATATTGAAGACTGCAGTACTTGACTTTTTGCTGCAAACACTGCAGGCCCTCTTCAGTTTGTTGTTTGTTGTTTGTTGTTGTTATGTGCCGTCGACTCATAGCGACCCT